TAAATATAATTAAAAATCTAAAACAGCGGCTTTCAATTTAGAGGCCACAAAGAATTTGTGATTTAATTTATATTTATTATAAACATATTATAGATGCATTTGCATGTAAGATTTGTGCAAGGCATTATGATAAAGAAGAAAAAATGTGAAATTATGTTTAGAAATTCATGATATTAAAAAAATTTGCATGAGTTGCAAAGTAAATTTTTGAGCAAAATTTGTGTGGAATATAATTGTTGTTTATTTATTTATTTATTTAATCAAATGTATTTTTAAATAGGCCTAATTATGATTTTATGGTTTTATTTATTTTTAGATTGTTATTAACTATAAAATTTTTAAAATCTGTCTCAATTATTTATTATATACAGTATACATAGTTTTTTGATTGTTATTTAATATAAAATATGCATTAATTATCATTATAATTATTGTTATTATTATTATTAGTATTCATTATTTTTTTGTTTATTATACAGTTATTTGAAGATTGTTTTGTCATATATGTTTTAAATAGACTTCTATTATTAACTGTGTTAGTGTTCTGTTTTTTATATGCAATTATTGATGAAATAATGGATATATAAATGTATGTGCACAACTTGTTTTTATTTATTATTAATTATTACATTGAAATAAAGATGTGTTGTTTTTAACACCGGTTGTATTAATTTATATGATTATTAGAACACTCTAAAGCATGCTGTGTTGTTTTAACCCAAATTTAGATCACATATTGACAAACTCAATCATTGGGTAAACTTTTTAATTAATTACTTTGTTATGTTATTTTATTTAATTTTTTGTGTTATTTTTTTATTTTTTATTTTTTTATTCTTTATTTATTTATTTATTTATTTTTTTGGCTTAGTCCCTTTATTTATCAGGGGTCGCAACAGCGGAATAAACCACCAACTTATTCAGCATATGTTTTACGCAGCGGATGCCCTTCCAGCCGCAACCCAACACTGGGAAACACCCACACACTCTTGCAATCACACTAATACACCATGGCCAATTTAGCTTATTCAATTTACCTATAGCACATGTCTTTAGACTGTGGGGGTAACCGGAGCACCTGGTGGAAACCGACGCGAGCACGGGTAGAACATCACACAGATATGCCAACTGACACAGCCAGGGCTCGAACCAGTGACCTTCTTGCTGTGAGGCAATCATGCCACCATAATCCCCTTTATTTTATTTTATTTTATTTTATTTTATTTTATTTTATTTTATTTTATTTAATTTTATTTTATTTTATTTTATTTTATTTTATTTTTGGGTCTTAATATTATATTATATTATATATAGAATAAATAGGTAGATGATAATTTCTATTTTTTAATTTATTTATAAAAAAAAAAAATCTGTATAAAAATTGCATATGTCCCTGAGTTCATTTTAAATTCCTCACTTGTGCTCTTAAACACACAGCAGTCATTACTGTGTGTGTGTGTGTTATGGGAAACCGTCTCTCTTCATTTGCCTTTCACTGTCCTTGTCACTCCCTCCATTTCCGCCTATTCTATCTTTCCATTCGTTTTCCTCCAATTTTCTGTCTTTCATGCTCTCTTTGTCATTCATCTCCAGCTACACAGTCACACACAATAGATAATGAAAGTCAAATAATATCTGTGTTTGGCAAAAGAAATTCACCAATTCAACCTAAACTGCACTGAATCTTCAATTAATCACTCCATAACGGGAAAATGGAGAGGACTTGAAATTGAAACCATTGAAAGTAATTAATGCGAGACACTAAAAAAACTGCTTTTTCATGCGCCTGTCGAATGATATTTTAGACTTTTTTTTCTTTTTTTTTTACATTTTACAAAGTGTCTAATGTAAAGACAGCACACAAATATATACTTATAAGTGTCTTGCTTTATCAGTTTGTGTATGTACTTTTCAAATACAGTGTCTTTTTTTCTTAAAATTAGTTTTTTCTTCGACACCAAAAATCTCTGATTTAGCAATGCTTACACTAAACTTTTAGGTTTATTCATGTCTATATCCTGTAGGTTTTTATATGGATGCATTCATACATACATATATCTGATTATATACAAAATAATATTCTACAAAAAAGTCAAAATTTTGTTTCTTTGGGGTTTTTTGTGTGGCTGTATTGACTAAATTATAAAAGTGAGTGATAAAAAGGATTCCATAATCACTGTAATATTTCAAAAAATCAAAGGGAAGGGGAAACATGTAAATAAGTAAATAGATAAATACATACATTTTGAACCCAACATTTCATTAAATAATATAATGCATATTTAATTAAATAATAACTCCTTTGCATATTTAAGCAACATTTTACATGTATTACATAAACCTGTAATACAAAACCTGAATTAATTAACAATTATAATATTTTAGATTAATAATAAATAACACTAGTGTCTATAAATACTGTCTTTGTGTTGACATGTGGAAATATGCAGTGCATGTTCATGTGAATGCATTCATGAATGTGTGTGTGTGTGTGTGTGTTTCGCATGCACTTGCGTGTGTGTCAAAGACAGTTTATAATGTTGCATATTAATCAGGCTGGGCTCCCTATGGCGGATCAAAGCCTTCAGGTTGAGATTTTCTGCCATTAATTTAGTAAGGATGTGGAAGAGGCGTTTAACCCTGCTGGAGCTGCCAAACACAGAGCAAATCAGTCAGTGTCCTTACCTTTACAGGCTCCTACAAACCCTGCAAATGCATCTTAAAGGGACAGTTCACCCCAAAATATTTTTTTCATTGAACACAAAATCCTTTTTTAATATTTCCCAAATGATGTTTAACAGAGCAAGGCAATTTTCACAGTATGTCTGATAATATTTGTTTTATTTTGGCAAGAATAAAAGCAGTTTATAATTTTTCAAAAGCCATTTTAAGTTAAAATTTATTAACCCCTTTAAGCAATTGTTTTTCCCGATAGTCTTTGACAGAACAAACCATAGTTATACAATAACTTGCCTAATTACAACCTGCCTAGTCAACCTAATTAACCAGTTAAGCCTTTAAATGTCACTTTAAGCTGTCTAGAAGTGTCTTGAAAAATATCTTGTAAAATATTATTTACTGTCATCATGGCAAAGATAAAATAAATCAGTTATTAGAAATGAGTTATTAAAACTATTATGTTTAGAAATGTGTTGAACAAAAATCTTCTCTCTGTTAAACAGAGATTGGGGAAAAATAAAAAGGGGGTCTAATAATTCAGGGGGGCTAATAATTCTGACTTCAACTGTATGTATGTATGTATGTATGTATGTATGTATGTATGTATGTATGTATGTATGTATGTATGTATGTATGTATGTATGTATGTATGTGTGTATGTGTGCATGTATGTTATGTATGTATGTATGTATGTATGTATGTATGTATGTATGTATGTATGTATGTATGTATGTATGTATGTATGTATGTGTGCATGTATGTTATGTATGTATGTATGTATGTATGTATGTATGTATGTGTGTATGTGTGCATGTATGTTATGTATGTATGTATGTATGTATGTATGTATGTGTGTGTGTATGTGTGCATGTATGTATGTATGTATGTATGTATGTATGTATGTATGTATGTATGTATTATCAAGGCAATTTTATTTGCCATTAAGACTTTCAAAATGATTTATTAAATTACATAATTTTCTTCACAATTGAATTTTTTGATGTTTCTGCTTCAGGATTTCACATTTTATTCAATGGTATTTGCCATTTCTTTGCATTAATTTGTGATATTTTGTAACAGTTAAGAATTTCTGAGTGAAAATTGTTTGAAAATTGCTTCAAATATGTTTTTTTCTCAGTATATAAATTTATGTGCATCACTTAGTTAGAAACATGCTGTTTTTGCTCTTTAATACCCAATAACTAATTTTATTTTATTTAAGAATTCAAAAATGTATTTATTGTTTACTTCAGAATATTCCATGTCTACTATATGTTTATTCATAAGGGTTTGCAATATTCAGTAATGATTTAAATCTATTTTTTGCCATTTCCTTATATTTTTTAGTGATATTTGTTAGCAATTTATGAGTGAAAAGTGTTCAAAAATTGCTTCAAATATGTATTTTTTTCTCTCAATAAATATTAGTGAATTTGTGTGCATTATTTAGTTAAACCGTACAGTTTTACTCTTTAATTTTTAAAAACTAATGTAATTTAATTACAAATTTTAGTAACTAATTTAATGTCCACTACATGATCATTTATGAATTATTTATATGACTATTAGTACATAATGTTATGCATATATACATAATTTCATCTTTTTTGACATTTATTTATACTTATAAGTGGTATTTATTTATTTAGTATATAAGTGATATTTATTATGAGTGAAGATTGTTCACAAATTGCAACAAATATATGATCTCTCTCTTTCTCTCTCTTTATATATTATATTATATATATATATATATATATATATATATATATATATATATATATATATATATATATATATATATATATATAATTTATTTAATTATTTATTTTTATTACATGATTTTTGTTCATTATTTAGTTAGATAACATTCTATTTTTCTCTTTAATTTCCAACTGACTTAATTAATTTAATGTTCACTAACTGGTCTCCTATATGAATATTTGTACATAATATTATGCAATATTTTGTAATTAACTCAATCAATTTTTTGCCATTTCATTATACTTAATATTAATATGTATTAGCAATATACGAGTTTAAATTTCTTTTAAGGAAAATTGCATATTAGGTAATATTTCTTTGTATTTTCTATATTTAACAGACACATGCAGTTTTATATTGCAAACCCTTCAAAAATTCATGAATAAATTAAATATCTCTTGCTGTTTTTTTATTTATTTATAAAAATATAAAGCAAATTTTACTTAGAAAAAATTGGTCATAATTTTTCCAATATCTTTTATGACCCTTTGTGCCACCCAACACACATTTATTCAATGTATTCAACTCTTTTGCTTTGTTTGTGTTTATTATTTCAGGTTAAGCAGCAGAAAAGTCCTGCTGATTAGCAGTGCAGGTTCACTGGTGTAAATGAGGAATCTCTGATCCTGCTTGAGTCTATAATCTGCTTGCATGTTTACTGGCTAAAAGCAGGCGTGATGCTGCCGTGACCCAGGCTGATCCAGGTACTGTCCTTAAAAACACTACTGACACTAATGTCTTCTGACACACACGCTTCCCCCTGCCCTTCATGTTAAACGTGTACACACACACACACACACACACACACACACACACACACACAAATCTCCAAAGCCTGTGCATGTTCTCTTCAATGGAACTCCGTCTGTGAAAGAGATTTTTGCTGAGTTTAAATTGAGTTGAATTTATTGTTGTATGCCCCGCATAAATGAGTACACCTTAACAGATCTCATTTTTAATTTGATCCTTTTTTGGGATGCTGCACATTTTTTCTGTGTATTAAATAACAAATTCACATATATATTTTTTATTTTTATTAAAAAAAGACATTTATTTATTTATTTATTTATTTATTTATTTATTTATTTATTTATTATTTATTTATTTATTTATTTATTTATTTATTTATTTATTTATTCTTAAATATTATTCATTTATTTGTAGGGTTGAATTATTCTAAAGATGTCTGTTGACCACACTTGTTTAATTTTAACTGTTTAAAAATTGTTTATCAATATGCAGCAATGTTTATTGTGCATATTCACTGAGAAATGGATAAAGTTATTATTTTCAAAGGGGTTGGACTCTTTTATGCTGGAGACTATATTTGCATATGTGGATATAAATTCATGTTTGTACATTTTGCTTGTACTGCTCCTTTTCCACTGCTTTGGATTAATTTAAATAATACTTGCGTTAACGTTACATGTATTTACATATTTTTGATTGAATCTTTTTGTATTTAGATTTTTTTTTAGCAAACAAGGCAAATTATTTTTTTTTTCAAATGTACTGTATATACTATATAATAAATATATTATTATAATAAAAAAAATAATAAAGTGTATAATAACATTTTTATGAATTGTAATTAGTCTTTTAATGAATTAATTTGTTTAATTTAGCTTTTTATTTATTTATGTACCATTTTTGTTCTTATTTTTTATTTTATTTTTATTTATTTATTGTTTGTTTGTTTGTTTTTTAAAGCAGCGGGAGAGTATTTTTTATATCATTTGAATAAATATTTAAAGCTTTATAATAATTATAAAAATATTTATAATATTTAATAAATGAACAAATATTTATATTATTTAAGTACAAATAATAAAGTGCATAATAAAATTATATTGAAGTACTAATTAATCTACTAATAATTAATTAGTCTATTTTTATTCTTAAACAATATTATCAGACATACTGGTAAAATTTCCTTGCTGTGTTAAACATCATTTAGGAAATATTTTAAAAAGGAAGAAGAATTCAAAGGGGGGCTAATAATTCTGACTTAAACTGTATACACACACACACACACACACACACACACACACACACACACACACACACACACACACACACACACACACACACACACACACACACACACACAATTTATAATGTTTATTAAAATGTATGAAAAAATACTATATTTTTAATAATTAGTAAAATAATAAAGAGTATTATAACATTATAACGAAGTGCTAATTAATCTAATAAATTTTCATTTATTAAATTAAATAATTATTATATTTTTAATAATTAATTTGTCTATTTTGTTTTATTTATTTATTTTTGTTGTTGTTTATTTATACTGTTTGGTAAAGCTCTGCTGTTTCTAAAGCAGTGGAGGAGCATTATTTTATATAATAATAATGATAAATACACTATAACAAAGTATTAATTAACATTTTAACTAATTAATTCATTTTTTGTTTATTTATTTATTTTGTCTTTTTATACACCGTTTTAATTTCCTTTTTTTTTTTACAGTTTGGTTGGTTGGTTCGGAATTTAGTTTGGAACATATAATATGTATTAAATTTTTATAATAATAGAAGTGGCTGTCGGCTCTGCCTGTCTTCTTCTTCTCCTCTTTTGTCCTGTTTAGATCCTCGGAGCATCTTTTCCTATCTTTCCTTCCCTTTTTCTGTGCGGCAACACAGCCTGTTATTTCAAGGAAAGTGCAACCTTTGCCTTGGGCTTTAATTATGTTCAATTTGCCAAGCCGAGCCTGAAAAATTGAGAGGGTGAAAAAGCTCTATGACCTATTTATTAATGCTGCGTTGAGTCTGAAGCTGCACTGAGATCAGCACTGCATCACTCAACAATAACAGGCGTCTCTGGAGAACACGCTCTTCTCCACTGCAGGAATTCACTGCTCTATTATACACCGCCGGACACTTCATTGACTTGAGCAGCACTGAAGTAAATGACATTAGTTTTGTAGCTGAGTGTGAGCGGGATCTGCTGTGTGTTTTTGGAAATGGATGTTAAAAGGACAGAAGTATGTCTAATCAAATAAAACCTAATTATGTATATTATATAGACGGGATGTAGCCTATTTATAATTAGATATGTGTGTATTAAATAGAGTTTATATTATTTTTAGATAGTCATATCACCGTATTTAAGTTTTTTTTTTATCTTATGATGTGAATTAGTTTATTGTGTTTTGTTTTTGTTTCTTGTACAATTTCAGTGAGTCTACAATAAAAATCTCCCCTCCTCTGCTTTGGGTAATATGAAATGCGTATTTTTTGATAATTTTTTTCTGTTAGAAATGTATATGCATATACAGTGCTCAGCACAAATGAGTACACCCCATTTTGAAAATCAATGTTTTTATTCATTACTCAGTGAGTATAGGCAAAATACGCTCACTGGCCAGTTTATTAGGTACACCTTACTAGTACTGGGTTGGACCTTGTTTTGCCTTAAGACCTACCTTAATCATTCATGGCATAGATTCAACAAGATACTTTAAATATTCCTCAGAGATTTTGGTCCATATTGACATAATAGCATCACGCAGTTGCTGCAGATTTATTGGCTGCACATCTATGATGCAAATCTCTGATTCCACCACATCCCAAAGGTGCTCTATTGGATTGAGTTCTGGTGACTGAAAAGGCCATTTGAGTACAGTGAACTCATTGTCATGTTCAAGAAACCAGTCTGAGATGATGCGCTCTTTATGACATGGCTCTGCTGTTGGAAGTAGCCATCAGAAGATGGGTACACTTTTTTCATAAAGGGAGGAACATGGTCAGCAACAATGCTCAGGTTGACACAATGCTCAATTGGTACTAACGGAACCAACGTGTGCCAGGAAAATTTCTCCTACACCATTACACCACCCACATCAGCCTGAACCATTGACACAAGCAACAAGGCAGGATAAATATGCTTTCATGTTGCTGACTCCAAATTCTGACCCTACAATCCGAATGTTGCAGCAAAAATAGAGACTCATCAGATCAGGCAACGTTTTTTCAATCTTCTATTGTCTAATTTTGGTGATCCTGTGCGAATCGTAGCCTCCGTTTCCTGTTCTTAGCTGACATGAGTGGCACCCGTTGTGGTCTTCTGCTGCTGTAGCCCATCTGTCTTAAGGTTGGACGTGTTGCGCATTCAGAGATGCTCTTCTGCAAACCTCGGTTATAACGAGTGGTTATTTAAGTTACTGTTGCCTTTCTATTAGCTCAAACCAATATGGCCATTCTCCTCTGACCTCTAGCATCAACAAGACATTTGCACCTAAATGGTGTATTTTGGTGTATTTAATCAAAACAGATTTATTAAACAGATATATTTATTAAAATAATATTTAAGTCATTAAATATCTTTATTAATCAGAATTTTATTTGTTTAAATTCAAGCAAAACATGGTGAAAAAAATGACAAACTACAAAATTGCAACAATTTTTGTTTTTCTTGACTTTTTTTCTCTTTTTTTCCTTTTTATTTAATATTCATTTCTAACATATTCATTTGGGTGTATTTATTCTTGGATCATTATTGAAAGATATTTTGTTAGATTGTCTTCAGATTTGGCTTTAGTACTGATTAATCTGATGTACAGTATATGCACAGATAAAATATTCTTGTTTAGTGTCTTATTTAAAATATTCATTTAAAATATAAATTTGCGAAGGGTAAACTTCTGAGGAGTGTGTGTATTTGTATGTATTTGTGGGCTTTGTAATATCTTAAAAAGATCTTAAACAAAGACAAAATATATAAGTGAATTTTGTATTTATATATTAATTTAATGATAAGTAAGTGTTTAATGAACAATATTATTTATGGTTAATAAAAAGCATGTATAACATAAAAACAAAGTAGCACATATGTTTTAGTAATTAATAAATAATTAAATAAATAAATCATATTTATTATTTGTATTGTGTTTTTATTATTTGAATTTATTGTATTTTCTTGTTTGGTTTAAACCAACAGATCAAAAATGTAAATAATGATAAATAACATTTGATAATGCTGAATAAACATAATAAAATGTAAATAAATTGTTAAAAAAAATTACATAACATGTGTATTTATTGTATACAAATAAATACATATTAATATAAATAAATGTATTGTATTTATTGTGTTATGTTTATTGGTATAGTCTTTATTATTAAGAAATCATTTCTTAAATTTCCACATAAATTGATTTTGTTTTTTGTTCCATATACTGTGTTTTTACACCCTGCTTTGTCTAAAGTGCTGGAATACAGGCTTCTTTGTGTGGATACAGAAGCAAAAGCATGAATGATTTATGGCTGATTCTGAAGGTTTTCCCAGCCTCTGCTTCAGCCCTACAGCAGACAGAAACACTACACTCCTACTTTTACAGCTTCGCTCATTTAACAATTAACCCAAATAGCGGACATGTCTCAAGAGAAGGAAAGAGAGAAAAGTCATCTGTTTATCATATCATGCCTGGTTTTGTATTACTCTCATTATTTAAGTGTGCAATAATGTTCACACGTGTGTGTGTGTGTGTGTGTGTGTGTGTGCGCTGAATTCATTGTCATTTCACCTTCCTTTCTCCATAACAAACACATCTTCTTCACAATATGACTGTGTGGGAAAGATGTTATCAAGGTTATGTTCAGCATGATTTATGTAACTTTATTTGCAGAGAAACCACTTAAACACTTATATGCAAATAGGATGCTTTTGTTATTACATTCACTGTTTTTTCCACAGCACATACATTTACTGGTAACAGTAAAATGTGTGTAGTTATAATGGTTAGCGAGAATTGGAGTGGAGAATGTCTAATATGTCCAACCCAGGCTCATTCTGAAAGCGTACCACTATATACATTTCTGGAGAGCGCCAAATACGTCCCAGGAGCTACATTTTTTTGCAGTTTTTGTTATCATGAGTCCACCAGAGGCCTCTGTCGACTGACTGATTGACCGATCGACTGACCCACTCTCTTCCTTTCCTAAACCAAACCAATAGTGTTTTCAAAAGCACTGATTGTCATGCCCACCGCCCTCCCTAAACCCGACCAACAGTTTTGAAATGCAATCAAGAAAAAAAAAAAGCAACTTGGTTTTTATGTTTTCAGATTTTACCACATTTTCACCCTGTTATTTACTTGTTTATTTTTATTTTTTGGCTTCTTTTTTTGTCTTCCGGAACTGTTCTTTGCCGAACTCAAACCTCGTCATCATCTTCTTTCTGCATCTCAAGTCCATCGACGTACATGGCGAGCTAACTGGACAAACTGGTAACAGCAGGAAAGCCGTCCACAGGGAGGTAAGCAGTCAGCTGGTAAGTGCGAAAAGGGACCACTGTATGAACAGTACATAGTAAGGTGATTAAACTTAACATTTTAATTGGGCTGTTTCTTAATAGAAGCCCTGCCAAGTTTGATGTCTCTAGAGCCAAATCTGTAGCGCCACCACCAGTTTAGATTTTCAATCTTTTTATCTAGAAATATTTCATTTAGTAAATATGACTCTTCTGGTTCTGAACAAAGTCAACAGCTTACATTGAAAATACAATATTCCATTTCATATACTACTTTAAAAAACACATGATCATTCTGAAAATGTAGCTCTATATACATTTATGGATATCATGAATTATGTAGCCAGAAGTATGTATGGCTGCATTTTATTTTTTAAATGAATGCTACAGGGCAGTATGACACCTTTCCTTTTCGCACTTACCAGCTGACCGCTTGCCTCTATATCAGGGGTGTCAAACTCAATTCCTGAAGGGCCGAAGCCCTGCACAGTTTAGTTCCAACCCTACTCCAACACACTTACCTGTAGGTTTCAAACAAGCCTGAAGGACTCAATTAGTTTGATCAGGTGTGTTTAATTAGGGTTGGAACTAAACTGTGCAGAGCTGCGGCCCTTTTGGAACTGAGTTTGACACCTGTGCTCTATATGGACTGTTTTCCCACTGTTACCAGTTTGTTCAGTTAGCTCGCCATTTACGTTGGTGGACTTGTGATGCAGAGATGAGATGACCACAATGACGGGGCTTGAGTCCAGTGAAGAACGGTTCCAGAAAGCAGCTAAGACAAAAACAGAAGCCAAAAAATAAAATAAACAAATAGGTGAGAATGTGGTAAAACAAAAACTGCAAAAAAGCGTACCCCCTGGGACATATTTGAAGGTCTCCAGAATAGTGGTATTAAAACCACTTTGTAAGACAACGTGTTGCAGAGCTTTTTGGGTTGACTTAACGTAAATCGAGTCAAGTGCAGAACTTGGATTAAAAGTTGAATCAACTCAAAAAAGATGTGTAGCAAGTTGCATTATTTTAGATTGAATTAACTTTTTTTACATTTATTTTTTACTAATAACTTTTTGGATTCTCTCTCATGCCTACTAAGAGGATGCTAAGTGAACAGCATGTCCCTCATTTTGAATTGTGGCAAAATTTGCCAAATCTTTTGAATGATTTACCATATTGGAACAAAAACTGGTAGGGATCATCAACACTAATTCCCAGGGGTAAATTAGGATTTTAAACACAGTGCCACCTAGTGTTCCAGAAATTTACGATTATATAGTGCTTATACTGTACCTTTATACTGTAAATTTTTGTCTTTATATTCCTTTATTTATAATGATTCAAACAATACTTCATTTGCATTTTTCACTGATACTCCTATAAATCTTCTTCAGTTTTGTCTTAATTGAACTCAACTATGTTTGGACCATGATAAAATAGAATTTCCTACCATCACTGTAAAATACAGAACTGGGTTCCACACAATTCCTTCATTTTGTCCCAACACAAATTGATTAAGTTAACTTAATTGTTTTTATTATATTTTTATTATAATTGTTGTTTAGCTAATATTGTTTATATTAGCTTAGTAATGTAATCTGAGCCTATTGTCTATAGCATAAGCTAATGCTTGTGTGTGTTTCTTCTTACAGTACGTTGAAAAAAGTGACTTGCGATATGTTTTGCCACTAAACAGAAAGTTGCTGGTTCGAGTCTTGTGGGAGGGTGACAAATAAAATGTGTAATAGGACATATAGTGTGACGTTTCCTCATCAACTCAGCTATTTTATCTATCTAACTTTAATCGCTCATGACTGTCATTGTTACTTTTAGCTTGAGTCTTAATTTTGAGTGGAAACATACACTTTTAAAAAATGCTGGGTTCCACGCAATTCCTTCATGTTGTCCCAACACGAATCAATTAAGTTAACTTAATAGTTTTTATGAATTTAATTAGATTA